ATGGAGGAAAAATCTTATATCATCTTTCAGATTTGTTTTTACAAATAAAATTGTAAACCGGCTACTCTGATACTCCTAAATATAATGCAGAGTAAAAATATGAGATATGAAATTTAGCTAATTACTGGACAGAGCCAAGCGGTGTATAAATTAATCTCAGTATGAATAAAGCTTCTCTACAAAAGTTTCAGGTTAAAAACATTAGCATGCAAACATCATCTTGAAGTCCAAGGAAACCAGTGAAACACTATCACATAGAACAGCACCATCAGTGCAGGAGCCAAGAGGTGAACAGTAACACTGCATGAGCCATTGAGATCCACGGCCTGGGTATGAGAACATCTCTACAAGAATTTAACTATTCAAGCATTGAAGAGATCTAAAGACAATTAAATAACACCATACCAGCTCACTCCTATTGCAAAAACATCATATTGAAAAAAAAAATGAGGACAAAATTGCATCTGAAAAAAACTTGATAAAAACTCTAAAAATGTGATTTAAATGTACATATTAGCCATGGTGCAAAATGACCAAATCTTCAAGCACTAGTTTTGTAAGCCTCATGATGCTTCCTGTGCTTTTCTTAAGAGGAAAAAGTGAAGCTGACAGAAATGATGGGCATTCCTAGAGGAAGATCTTATAGCACTAAGCTGTAAATCTGTGTCTGTTCATAACATATTTATGAGTAAAACTCCAACTGAGAAGCTGCAGCAATACCTGAAATAATTTTCTATTTAATTAAGCTAGAGATTTTTTTAATAAAAACTAGAAATGTGGCAGAAATTATGAGTCAGTGGGGCGGAATCAAGATAAAAGCCACACAATAAAATTTTTGATAGTAATAGATTTGTGATTATGTGTAATTTTAAACGCAACTTTGTGTTGGTAAATAACATAGGATCCCAATTAAATACAATGAAGGTTATGAGGCATCTAGGTAGAATGTAGCTAAAGATCTATGGGAGATAAATCATAGATTAATGAGTAGAAAGAAGAATATCTGTGAAGAATAGGTTCAGTAGAAGCTGAAAACAATTAAACAATTTTACTGACTTTTTGACTTAGTATTTTTCTGCCTGCGATTTAATGTAATGCTAACAGCTATTGTCAATGAAGCACTGCAACATTCACTGATTATCAAACTGAAAAAGGGAAACAACTATTAATTCTCTCAGTAAACACGGAGTCAACACAACAGAGGTCCCAATTTAGAAGCATTAACATTTTAAAGAAACGGTGGTAAAGATGTGTGACAGATGGAAAGGTGAGGAAAGATGAAGAAAGTAATTTAGCAAAGAGGATATCCACTGAGCAGAGTGAGACAGAGGAAAAATGGGTTTGAAATGTAAGTGTCCCAATAATCATATGTTTCTAAGGAATTTTAGCTGAAAACTCAACAGAAGGTTTACAAACAATAGCTGGGAGTGTTTCTGGTTTGCAAAAGAAAGTTTACCTTCTATAAAAAACAAATATTTCAGAACCTCTTTTCAAAGAACAGCATAACTGTATAAAATTATCTTAAAGAAAGAGCCACGCCAGAATAAAAGATCAATATTTCAGCAACAGATAAAATAACCGTGTGCACTCTGAAAGGTTGAACTTAATGCATTCAATCCCCTAATAATTACCTCCATAAATCCCAGATGAAGAGCATTTTTAGTAACTTTTAGTTCAACAAACTCAGACAGCAACTTAGCCGTTAGGGTTCACTCTTAACGCTTTTATCAGAGCTGTTTACGAATGCAGAAGGTAGCAGCTTTTAGCATAAAAAAAAGCCATTAAGTCCCACTGTAAACAAACCACTAAGCACTATTTTGCAAAGCTTTTTGTTAATAGCTTTGTAAACATTCTGTAGCACTGAGCAGTCTCGATTCAAATTTATCCCTCAGGAATCAATGAAGGTCAAAAACGAGAATGATATTGGACTTGGGATTAAGTTCATTAGTTGACAACAAGCACAAATTATACTCCAGTCTGATAAAGTTAGTTTGTATCTGCATAATGAATAAAAAACAAAACATATTAAAGCCTTAGCATTGAAGTTATTCTGTTCTTAAACATACAGCACAAAAAAATTATATCCACATTAATCAGGTTTAAAACTTTTAGTAGAATTGTAATTTTCTATAATATCACGATCAGTAACCCAGTTACAATCCTGAAGGAACACAGTTGGCAAATTCAGCAGGCTCAGTAGTTCGGTTTTGAAAACCTTTTCTGTAATGAGCTCTGCCTCTTTCTCTTTCCACAAAGATCTTTACAACAATATAAAGATTGGTTTCTTAGATTGTATATTGGACTACCTCACTTGCTGCCCACAGTATGTGGGGGCACAGGGCTGTGTCTCAGGTAGGTTGGTTTGCAGTACGGGGGTCCCACAGGGAACAGTGCTGGCACTGTTCCTCTTCACCCTCTACACTGCACACTTCTCCATAAACTCCCCACGCTCCCACCTCCAGAAGTTCTGTGAGGATTCTGCGATAGTTGGCCTCATCATAGGTGACGATGACTCAGAGTACAGACGGTAGACCCAGAACTTTGTAGACTGGTGTCAGGAAAACCCCCTCCTGATTAATGCAGGGAAAACCAAGAAGCTAGTGGTGGACTTTCGCAGAAGCAGATCCACCCCACTGACACCGGTGAACATTCAGGGGATGGACACTGAGAAATTGGACTCTTATAAGTAAATTGCTTGGATTGGATTGAGGCTCTATATAAGAAAGGTCGGAGCAGACTGACCTTTCTTACCTGACCCTGTTGTGGCATCAGCTATCTTCTCTGGAGCTGTCTGTTGGAGCAGTGGCTTATCTGTAGCTGAGAGAAAGTGGCTCGATAAGCTGATCAGGAAAGCCAGCTCTGTGATTGGATGACCTCTGGACTCAGTGCACGAGGTGGGAAACAAAAGGATCCTAACTAAATTAAAATCTCTGTTCGATAATGTCTACCACCCCATGCATGAATCAGACGCTGAACTGGAGAGCTTCTTCAGAGACAGACTGCTGCACCCTAAATGTACCAGGGAGCGTCATCACAAATCCTTCCTCTCAGCAGCTGTAAGATTCTATAACTACCACTGTTCTCAAAAACCTCAATAAGTTGCTACATGCTGATGCCGATGTTTGCACAGATTCTGTCTTAGTCACTTAAATAACATGCTGCTGTCATGTTTGTTGTTGTTTTTTTTTTCTTGCACATCTCTGGTGTTACTGCTATTTTCACATATCCACTACTGTAAAAATGTCCACACTGTATATTGATTATTTATTCTTCAGGTGACTGCACAGTATTTATATTAGTAAAAACATTGTACAGTACAGGATTCTATTTTTTTTTTATATTTTTCTTCTGATTGGCTAAACAGTCTCTTTGCGTTATTTGTAAATAAGAAAAAAAAGGAAAACAAGCAACAATAACAACAAATGTTTATACAGTACTTTTATTTCTTTAACAAATGTTTGGGCCTGTAACAAGTTTTTGTTTCTTGATTTCAATGTTTTATGGAGTATTTCATTGTATAATAACTAGAAAAATAAAGGTTTCTACTTCACGGATTTCGCCTATCGCGGGTTCTTTTTGAAACGTGACCCCCGTGATAAACAAGGGTTCACTGTAATGCTTTTGCTGCTTTAACACTACAATTTCCCCATTGTCAGGAAAATAAAGGGATTTTCTATTCTCTATACTAATCAGAATACTTAGTGAACCTTTAGGAATCTAAATATTTCCTCCTGGCTTCAGAGTGTGTAATTTCATGTGTAGACACATTGGAGGTTAGAAGTTTTTATTCCCTCTTCAGTGACATAGATTTCATATTAATTCGGGCTTTTAATGATACAGTTTGACCCCTTCTTGACTGAAGCGAATTAGGTAAAATTTGAATGAATCATTTCAGCTGGATATCTGACCCCTCCACTTGGCAGAGATAGTTGACTTCATTAAAACCTTTAAGAGCATATTTGATGCTCCTGAAACCTGTCAAGTAAAGTGTGTTCAGCTGTGTCTGATGCCTCTGCTGCTACTGTGTTCCATGGCAGAGTGGCTTTGCTATGTTTGCTGTGATCAGTAGGTAAAAAGTAGTTTTTACCTACTGATTATGTGGAAAACGTCCACCTCAAAACATTGTCTGTGCAGACAGTTAATCAAGATTATGATCCTGCCTTAAAATATTATTTCGTTGTCGGAGCAGCACAGACCGCCACATACTGGTGGTGCGCTTTTACTGGGAATCCCCAGCAACGTGGGGACTGGAAGTATATGTTGGCTTTTTTCATGTATGTGTTATAAACTGAAGGCACCAGAAATAATAAAAGCCAACATATTTTGCCAGAAGGTTTCAATATTTTAAGTTAATTTAGGAATTAATAAATAGTTTCAGTGGAGTGATCATAGCGATCTGCATCAGTAGTGCTGTGTCATACTCCTCAGATGCTCGAAGCTCACGAGGCTCTGCTTCGGCATTACATTGTTTATGTCAACTGCAAAAGAAAATCTTCTCAACAAACTTATGGGAGATCTTTCTATAGCTGATGAATTCAAAATATAACATCGGTAAAAACAAGATGCAAGCCAGCCAGCAGGTAAGCCAGCCAGCAGGTAAGCCAGCAAGCAAGCAAGCAAGCAAGCAAGAAAGAAAGCAAGAAAGAAAGAAAGAAAGAAGGAAAGAAAGAAAGAAAGAAAGAAAGAAAGAAAGAAAGAAAGAAAGAAAGAAAGAAAGAAAGAAAGAAAGAAAGAAAGAAAGAAAGAAAGAAAGAAAGAAAGAAAGAAAGAAAGAAAGAAAGAAAGAAAAAGAAAAAAACTAAGAAAGAAGCAAACTAACAAAAGAAAGAAGAGAGAGGAAAAGGCAGAGAGAAAATTTTTTTGTTTTTTGCATACTTATCCCGGACTTGAAAAAACTGAAGGTCTAGCTATACAATAAAGCTTAGATATACCAACATTTTTACAGCTCTTGTTATACTTTTGCTTTCCCTTTTCTCCAGTCAAAAACAGAAAAAGAATACCTGGCCATCCCCAGGCTGGAGAACCCTGCTGGGACAATAAGGACATCAAGGCGGGGAAACGGATGCACCCCTAATATAGCATGGGCTGCAGCCAAACATCGGGGCAGCAGCTTGAGGACTCCCATCTACAAAGGATACAAAATTAGGTTAAGTAAAACAAGAAGAAAAAGAAATAATAAAATAAAACTAATTCAATAACTAATCAACACATTTTATACACATAAGTGATCCATCTAACACTTAATTGCTATGCTTAGCTCTTTTTTCAGAATATACTTAGACTTCTTAAGAACATTATTGCAAGTTTACTCTACTGAAATGAGTACATTCTACAACACAAAGATTCCAATTAATGTTTAAATGACAAGATGAAAGTATAAAACCAATAGCAGTTTGATATAAACATTAATAATGATAATTGTTGCAAATCTTTAAAAGCCTAATTAGTAAGTCTCAGAGCCTAGTTGTCAGAACCCCACCTGGGCCTTCTGGAGCAGGCATACAGGGCTAAATACACGGTGTGGAACCACCCGCTGGGACCAAGCCGACCGTTCAGTAAACCGACAAGGGTAGTCACCATGGGAACAAGAGATGCTGTCATCCACCATCCCTGAATAATCAGTCAAAGATAGTTCCTCATCCCCAAGAGAAGAACGACAGCATAAAGAATCTGCAGTGGTGGCCTCACCTCTGCTGGAATAGATAAAAAATAAAATAAAAAAAATTTCAATTTAAAAATTATAATAATTTACTTTATTTTCTTATTTTAGTAAAATAGTAATAGTAAGTAGTGTAAACTAATTCTGAAGTGATGAGACCCCCGTGGCACAGTGTGGAGTTTCTATTCAAAATAGAAAAGGAAGCAAATGCATCAGAGAAAAAACATAAAAAACTTTTAAATTTAATCAATTTCAATTCACTCAATTCAATGCAATTTAATCAGGACAAAATTGACATTTTTTTATAAAATATAAAATGTATAAAATGCTGGTTGGGCCTTTACCATCTCAAGCCAAAAGTATTAGGAGCCATTGTGGGAGGTCCAAAGAGCCATCTGTGGTTCAATAGCTCCAGAGAGCAGACCCCTGATCTACACCCTTACATTGTCGTTGTATGTTTGGTGTGGCTGCCAAAGTCTCAAGTTTCTTTCAGCCTAGAACAGGACCTCTTCATTGTTCTCCTATATTTAACTCCATCAATCTCCTCATCAACCCAGGCCAGATTCTTTGTTCTTATTGAAGACAAGCTTCCCCACAGAATAATTCATCTGCCACCATATTTTTCCCGACACACACACATTTTTATCTCACTATATGTAGTGAGGACCATGTGTAGACTCCCATTAACTTTAATTGTTTTCAGTCATTTTCAACCCTTTTTATGACCTAACTCTTGCAATAACCCTTAACCTAACCATTGCCAGTGCATACCTAACCCTAAGCCCTTAATTCAACTCAAGACTTGGCATTAAATCGAATCGTTAGTAAAATGGGTCATGATAACCGGGAAAATGTTCTCACTTTACAAAAATCCTCCGCAATTGGACAGTGATATCATCAAAATGATTCTGATTCTGATACCCTGACAGGAGCGTTCTGTATGGCTTGCTGTAAAAAAAGGCCAAGAAGTTTAACGCCGGTCTTATCCGAACAGGCCCTTACTACTGCATTTTTACTGTGCCACTTACATGGGTTGTGGTGCCTTGTAAACAGGATTTCTTGCGTAGTTGTATCGATTTTGTTTTTTATACTTTAATAAAGGCTTCTTAGGGCTTCTTAGCGCTCTTTCTTTCTTTTTTTTTTTTTTTTTTTTATAGGCATCATTTGAGAAGAACAATGACTGACAGTAGTCTTGTCAACTTATTTTGCCAAATCAGTTGTGGATCAGGTCCTCTAGAGCTGATTCTATGATTAATGTTTTCCTTGTGGGGCCTGCTGGTGTCATGGTAGTTGTGCCATGCAGCTAGTCCATCCCTGGCTGATGGGCTGCTCAATTAAGCTCTTACACTCCCACAGTGTGTTTTTCCCACTGCAAAGCCTCACTATAGGACTGGTATGTTCCCTTGTCTTCATGCCTAAGCTCTAGCACTTTATGGGACAACAGCACTGATACTAAGATTAAAATTACACAGAAATAACTATTACTAACTATTATGACTTCAGGAGGCAAATGATTGGACTGGATTATATTCAGCAATTTCTCATAATTACCTGTACTGTGCCCTTATGGACCATTTTGGGTTGGTCTGTTGGATAAAATCCAAACAGAATGTATTAAGCTTTGTGGTGGTAAATTGACAAAATGCGGAAAGTTTTATGGGTATGAATACTTTTGCAAGAAGCTGTAAATTATACAGCTTGTCATAAAGTCAAACCGCAAATATGTCAAAATATTTCAGTGTTGACGTGCAATCTGATCCAATATCCAGCACTTACTCCATCCTCGTCCTCAGAAACTTTCCATAAGTGCCGAGCAACAGCCAAGTTTCCTTCCAGCCATTCAGTGAGTATAAAGATATCCCTTGTAGAGTAGCTGGAGAGTCACAGAGCTATGGCTACATTTTTACTGAAGGAAAAACCATGAATAGAGGGGGAGGATTACTGGAAACCACTGGCAGACCTGCCAGCCAGCAGAGAGGGAAACACTGGCCCAACCCTGCCCAACAGGAACTGGGCCCGTCTATTGCCCCAACCTATACTTTATTTCCTGTACTGCTATTAAAAATTATGATGGCTATAGATGTTTCTTTCCAAAGATAATTTCCCCTCGCCAGCAAATGCAACAAACTGCAGTGCTAGCTTTAAACAATCTCACATAAAAAGTCAATTATGTACTGAAAACTATCCATCACTTTAACTTCAATTGAGTCACGTATGGTCTGGGGGAGAGGAAAGTTTAAACAAGAAATGTTGAAGGGCCAGACTTGGGTTAACAGCAGTCTTGAGTAGAGGAGGTCCTACAACAAAAAAAGAAGTCAGTGAAGTCATTAAATTACCTGCCAGGCTGAAGTGGAGAGCCCCTCTCTATTTGGGGAAGTCCTGACACAGGTTCAGCATTGGGGCTGCAGCAGTCTGCCCCATATTCCACCTCTTTTTCTGGGGCTGAAGGACTTTCTGCAGGGACCTCACACCAGTGTCCCACAGCCAAAGTAAAAGTGGATGCAGGCATGGGCATTGTCACATAATAGTTCCAGAGAAGGAAATCTAAAGTAGGTACAAATAATGAAAATGTCAAAGGGTAAAAAGTAACTTTTTATACATAAATGCAAATAAAGAATTAATTTATAATTTTAAGAAACATCCTTAGGTAATAGAAGTGTTAGATAAATTACTTTCATTAGACTCTGTTTGCAATCATCTACAATCATTCCGATAATTAATAACATGCATTCAGAGTAAATGGACCAAAAGTTTGCTTTGTTATAACTTAAAAAAATGGACTGCTCTTTTAAAAAAATATATATTTTTTTGTCATGGGTATTACGTGCCGCTTTAAAATTTTGGATCGTAATGTGGTGATGGATTTATTATATCCTTTTCTTAAAAAAAAAAAAAAACAGCCAGTAAAATGAAATGTGAGTTATTATGCTTTTAAAAATAGTTTTATCAACTTCTTTGAGAACAAAAATCAAACTGGCATTAAAATTGACTTTGATTGTGTCCCTTATCTCCAATATTGTCAGAGATAAGAAAACAATAATTTATTTTTTCAGTAATTAAACCCACAGAGCTCTCTCCTCCTTGTCGGGGAGAAATGATTCTTAACACAATGCCATTGTGAAGGCTAAAAAAAAAAAAAAAAACATATGCAAACAGAATATTCAGAGGTATCAGACAAAGGGTTCTTTGCTGCAACTTCACACTGAACCAAAAATGTAAGCTTCAAGTGACTTTACTGTTTTACTAGACACTCCTTTAGGAAAGGTAAGGAAATAAACAAAACCCATTACTTTCAGTAATGACCCAAAACTGAATGCATGACCATTAATGTCCATCCGTAGACAAAAGAAACCTGCAAGTGTTGGAAATTCACCTAAAGACATAAAACATTAAAATGAAAGGATCTCCCAGATTAGTGAAACTAGTTAAATAACACAAGCCAGCATGTTCCAAAGGAATGGGCATATAAAGAGACCTGCTAAAGTATTCTAACCCTTTAATGCAATAGCCAACGTGATGGTATGGTCTGTGAAGCTGGATCAGATTGGATGGAAATCATTGTTCAATATCAAGTACCTACCCTTTCCACAGATTCTACATTTGAGTTAGGACAGCACTTCAGTTGGGCATTTAATTAAAACAAATTTGCTTTGATTAAAACTATCCCCTTGTTCCTTTGGCAAGCGATTATATATTGTAGGGTGACCAAACGTCCGTATTTCCCGGGACATATCCGTATTTCACGTCCTGTCCCGGGCGTCCCGGGTTTTTTTTAGAAAGTGAGGAAATGTCCTGATTTTTTAAATTACCTTAATTGGACCATTAAATTTACAGGCACTAGGGCACTGCGCACGACACTGCGTGTTACATAATCCCTGAGTCGCGTCAGTGCGGTCAGCCCTGTTCTTAATCAGAATATAGATAGCGTGGCTGTCAGTACGCCAACAACATGCAAAAGTGCAAATGTATGTTTACCGACGATTTACAAAAGAGTTTCCCCGCTTTCAGCCCGGGTTGAGACACATTGGATGCCTTGTGCACAGTGTGCAAAGCAGGCACATATGTCTCGGTGTCCAATGGAGGTGCAAGGAATCTGAAAAGCCACCTGGACACCGAAAGTAAAGATAGTCTATTGATATGTTTGTTCGTTTTTGGTACATTTTGAGTTATTTTTGCTACACAAGGGGTGTTTTTTGTTAATAAGCTCATTTGTTAATTTATTTTTTCCAATAGCCTACAGAACAGACATTATTTCGTTCATTACTGAGGCTGAGTATCATGTGTTATTGGGAGTTGAGAGTTATTGTTAACTTTTATTGTTAAGTGAGGGATGTTTAGATGAGACATTATTTCTTTCATTGTGCTATTCATTCATTACAGGAATTGTTAAGCATTTTTAATAAATACATTTTGAATAAAATTATCATTTGTTATTGGAGTTATTGCTGTTGACTTTTACTGAAAAGCATTTTTAATAAATCAACTGTATCAACTGTAGATATAGACATCTCTATGCATGGGAACAGAGATCCCATGCATAGATCCCCCCCCCCCCCCAATATATTGACCAACTACAACTCTCTATAGGCTAGATTTCCAATATTAGGCTCCTGCTGGTCTTCTTAAACAGTCATTTAAAAAAAATTAAAAAACAAAACACTGCACTTTGTTTTCATAGTTTGAAGTAACTTTGCTTCCCATCCTGGAAGATTCAATTCAAAATGTCTGGAGTAGGATTTGAGTTCCAAGCTTGTAGAGTGGCACAAACAAAAGTCTTGTTATGGCTTAGAAAACATGCAAATTGAACTGAAAAAAACAGGTCCACCCCTTAGTAATTGGGAGTCGTTGAGGTCGTTGTTGGCCTGCAAGACCTGACACTGGACCATGCCTCTGAAAAGGGAGCCGTTAGGGTCGTTGTTGGTCTGGCTGACCAGGCGAGATGTTTATGTTCCCTGTATGGTGATGGGGGTTGAGATGATGAGATGTATTGTAGGTTTTTGAGAGCTGGAACCTGAGACCACCCAATTCGTTTAAAGTTGTTTTTTCTCTCTCAACATCAATTGCTTCCTTCAAACAACATTAGGCTCCACTTTGGTCTCACCTAGCCTGCAAACTTGTTTACCTCCACCAAGGAGGTTATTTTTTTCCTTAGAGTTTGTGTGTGTTAAGGATAACTTGAACAGTTATGGACGGACTATAATTACATCAGAGGTGTCCCTCATGCCAAGGAACAATTCATTTAAATTTGGTAATGATCCAGATCATGTGCATGTTTTAACTATAGGTTTAAGTGGCAATTTGAGGCAGAGTTTGCTGCTTGGTGGAGGTCTGCGCAGGAGTGCTTTTCTAGTCTCATATGGTTTATTACAAAATTTGAAGGAAACTTCTCATGGCTTTCTTTCAAAAATGGCATGTTTTCTTGCGATTCTTTCACAAATACCAAAGGTTTGACATGCACAACTAAGAGCTGGGAGGAGTTCTGCTACCTGAGCAGTGGACATCGGCATCTACTTTCTAACATACCTCTGAAGCTTTCCCTAAATAGCTGTATTTTTGCTGGGATTGAATTACATACATAATGACTCTGTTTACAAGACACATCCTTTCAAATCATTTTTCTTTCTCTTCACAATTTGGACGCACTTTCTATATGAAACTCGATCCCCTGAAAATACACTAAAGTTTGCAGTTGTAGTTTTTTGAAGGCCAGACATGTTCAGGGTTATGAATGCATGAGTATCATGTCTCACCCAAGATATCAGCTAAATTTCAGATTGTTAAAAGCAACATGGCTCTACTTTGGTGTCAAAGCTTACCAGTGTCCCCATCCTTAGCTGGAACAGCCTGCTCCTCCCCACTCATCAAAACCACGCAGTCACTGGGGGCTCGTACCCTGGCCTGCCATGTTGACATGGCAACAGGCGGCTCTTGGCAGGGGAAGAGGGCTCGGTTGTTGATAGGAGAACCAGCGGTGTAAACACACTCCCTAGAATGGTAAAAAAAAAAAAAGTAAACTATAAACAACCCTCCTTTGAGTGCAATGAAATGCAAAAATAAAGATTTAAAATGAAAGCCCCTCCCTATTTAGAGCATAAACTGCTTCCGGTGTGTCTTTTTGTGAATTAATGAATCAGTAATATAACTTCCTGAAGTTTGTTAGGATGTGAGCAACAGAAAGCAAAGCTTGTGTGATGCATAATGCCAGGTTTAAGACATATGAGAGTGGGTCCAAACCTGTTATCCTGGTCCTTGGTCCATCTCACAGAGCCCCCTAATGGTCTTGTCTCATAGTAGATTCTAATGATCCTTGGGAAACCCTGTGCAGACGTGACTCCAGCCTTTCTCACCTGCAAACTCCAACGGTCTGTCTGAAAATGAACTAAGCCGCCATTCTGGGTACCAGGGCTGCGGCTGCACAACAAAAAAAGCTGATGCCTCTCCCTCCATTGGGAAGAGGGCATAGAGAAAAGGTGTTGGATAAAATCTGCTTGTGAACCCACAGAAATCTCTTCAGATGCAACCTTCGAGGGGAAGCCCAATGGTGCTGACACAGAATCAGTGTCCACCTCTTCCACCTTTGACACGTCAAGGTCACAGCAGTCCAGCACTAAGGTGAACTCTTCTGCATTGGCGGCCTGAAATAAACATGGATCCTGAATGTGACTTTCAAACACCGTACCGTCCTTTTTCGGTTCCTGCCTTGCACTCTTTCCAGCTTCATGTCTAACATTTTCCTCAGTTTTGGTCCCTTCAGCAGAGCAAGGCTCAAGGAACAGAACAATGCTACCACTGATGATTTTCTTGTCCAAACAAACAGTCAGATCCAAGACATAGTGTCTGACAAGTATGTGGTTAGTATTGGCTCGGAGTGGAAGGTCATCTGTGTCCGGGTTATAGTCCCCATCTGGCTCCATGTTAGAGTGGGGCGAAGAAGAGAAGCTAAAAAAAAAATTATATAAAAACATAGAGGATAAATTTACAAGGACATATTATGCTTTATTACAACCTTTGTTGCATTCAGTATAGTAAAAATCTGAATAAGGCTAAGGCAGTAATGGCTCAGCCCAGTCCTGGAGAGCTGCATCCACATGATAGAAGTCTATGGTTGAAGGATAGATAGGGCCTACGGCTGTTGGGCACACCTGCACTAAGGAATCTGGTCTTGATGTTATCCAGTGGTCACAAACTGCAATATTATAGAGTCACTGTTGTGGGACTTCAAGATAAATCCCTGCTACAACACAGAAGACTGAAGTAGTAGAGAGCTGTGTAGGGGCAATTGAGCCATCCGATTCAGGTTTGTGGAGCTAGAGACATAGACGCTCAAAGATATGAGATATAATAGATATGATCTTTGTTTTTCTGTTATATTGGAAATTTTTATCAACACTTCTATCTGGAAGTTTGGCTCAATGAGAAGAGAAACTGTTTCTGGTTCAATCCCACCTTCCTCCTGGTAAACGTTGTTGGCCCCAAGACATTTGACCAAAAGTTGCCTACAGATATGTTTGATTAAAAAAAAAAAAACATTTTATTTCTCATATGGGATTTATAAAGTATTTTTCAAATTTATTGTTGAATGGCTGTAGTGCACAGCTCTTTGTATAGTCAATGTGACAATAATATCAGGAACACCCTGCCTTTTTTGCTAGTGTGTTTCACGGTTTGGATTTAATTGCACTTTGATTTAGGGCACGCTCAGCAGGGATGGTTGAAGTAAAAGCTAGCTTTTCAAGTGATTTTTGTCTTTTTTTTTAAATCATGAAACGGACAAAAACATAGATTAATTGGATTTGTTATGAAAAAAAAATCAACAATTTTATTTGTAAGCCATTTCACCAGCCCTGTTAATGTTAAAGTGTTGTGGGTATATAGTTCTTGTCAACAGTGTTAAGCCGTTAAGAGGTGCAGTGAACATAAAATATCTAGATATTTGGAAGAACTTCACTCTGTTCCAACATGCATACATTACCTACTGTAAGAACTTTCTTCAAAAGCTTTAAGTTGAAATTTAAAACATTTACTTCAAGTAGTGTTTCCTCTGCCTGCTATTTTTAATAATTATTCTATTTTAAGCCTATACAGATTCAAGAATTTTCACAAAACTTTAAGTTTTGTCTTATTAATAATATATTTTAAATACATTATTACTTAGTACTTCAGTAGGCTTTTTACCAAATATATCTGTACTCTAGTATTGCAGTAATTGTAATATGTTCAAGTTACCATCCAAGTAACTTGAACATATGCTGACATTATTAATGAGAAAAAAGTCAGAATTCTGAGGAAAAATGTAGGAATTCTGAGATTAAAGTCAGAATTCTATGAAAAAGTCAGAATTCTGAGATTAAAGTTAGAATTTTGAGATTAAAATCAGATTTAAGACATTTTCTCATATCATACTGAAATAAAATTTGGAAATCAGTTTTTTTTCCTCTTCCGTACACAACAGACACACTGAAGCAGGTGTTTTGTGTAGGTCAAAATAATGTGTTTTAAAACACAAAAAACGAAAACTAAACACCTCCAAATGACTTTGAACACAACATTCCCATCTTGAAACATAGCTGTAGTCGCATCCTGCAGAGGATATACACTTTTTCATCAGTAACAGACAAGTTGGACATAGCTCATTGAAATATATAAATACAGAGCAACCATATGATCCCAAAAAAACATAGCATTAAGATGGTTAGAAATATCACCAAATGAAACGCTTCAAAAGAACGGTGTCATCTTTGTTTGTAATAAACAACAAACACGGGAACGATTTAATGCATTAACCCTGAAATAACAGTTGCGTTTGTCACTTTGTGTTTAAAGCGGTTAAACACTGAGCTTGCCTTCTGCAAAAAGCTAATTTCATATCACAAACCGGCTCTCTATCATTTATATGCACAGAACCAGAGATCTGCGTCCGCTTCTTCTCTATTAACAGCGAATTATTTACAAACAGCTTCTAACATACCGCTGAGAAACACAAACACCCGCTTTTGTGTTTAGAATTCCACTACCGAGTTGAAGTCGAGCAGTAATGTCGTCATCATCACGGGACAGCAGCATATTGTAGTTCTGCGCTTCAAATCCAGTCGTGTAGTCAGTTCATATGAGTAAAACCACTGATCTAGCCTATAATAGTTAAAAAATGTATTTCATTTGTCCCGTTTTTGTACTTCATATGAAAATCATTTCGGTCTTTGATTTGGTAACTGAATTTATCCTCAAATGAGCTCAAATCTGATTAGAATTAAATGGCTTTCAAAATAGGACTACTACTCCAAAATGTATAGGCTGCTCTAAAAGTAATTGATTTTTAATTTTCATTTATCTTTCCATTTTAATTGGGCATTTTTTATTTACAGTGACAGCTTTTTGCTCACACTTTACAATTTACTTTTTAATTCATTTATTACTCTCATCTAAACGTCCCCTCAAAATGCAATGTTCCAAAATGATTGATAGTTATCACAATACAGTAAAAACTAAAGTAAGGAAATTTAATAATTACATTTTTATATTTGCTAATATTAAATTTGATTATGAAAGCAGTGATTTTGAAAATCAAGTACAGGTATTGTTGCTTTTTTTTTTAGTTCCTCTGGTAAATAGTTTTTTTAACCAGTAAATAAATCCACAGCTTTTGTCACCTGGACTTTACAGTTTCATTAACAGTGATCGGTGCTATGCTTGATTTCATAAGTAAGCCTAAACATATGCTTCATCCTCTTTGTACCTAGATATTGTGTTCTCCAAGTTTCTGATCAGAAATACAACAAGAATGCTACCCTAAATACAAAACTGCTTATTATAGCAATTATAATGGTTTGTGTTTTGCATGACATGCATATAGCACTGAATAACCCACATTTGTGCACATACACATTAAAGATAAATCTTTTTCCCCAATTGGAAAATTGCACTTTGCAAATTGCAAATTGACCCACCTCATTAGCAGATATAAACTCCCACTTCTTGCAATAAATTCACACCAATGCTGACAGATTAACAATCAACTAATCCCCTTCCCGTTTTAGTTGTCTGAAAATAAAATACATAATTTATTAAAACATTGCCTTTTGACTTTTTGAAATTCATACTCACTGCTTCAGCACCATCATACAAATATATTTGGTCAAGTTTACATTTTAGTGCAAGACTTTAGTTCAATGGGTGCTGTTACCCCAACGGCAAAGTAATAGTGTTCTATAACAAAGAAAGCAAGCTAAAGACAAACAGTTGTAACATTGTGTATTTAGTAAAGTTTATTAACCTCCAGCAACAGTACTTTGCCTAACAAATGCTTACAAAAAAAATCTCATTTAGTTAAACATAAGTGGTATAACCCCCCACCCCAACCCCTTAGCACCCGTGTACAGTAGTTCCATGCCACAGATGCATCTTACAGCAGTCATTTTTAGATTAATTTAAAAAATAGAAATACATTTTAGTTAATCCCCTAGTTAATACAGCAAGTTGTCTCATTTTGTTTTACAAAACTATTAATCAAAATACTCAACAGCTAATAAATACAAAGGCAAATATTCACATGAGTACTATTGATCTATTTAAAATGTATTTCTATTCATGAAAAATAAGCAGATTTACATGACCAAAATACAGTGTGACCTGAAACATAAAAGATAACAGTATGAGCTGTCATTAATATGTTTTATTTAAATCAAATTTAGATGACCAAAAACGTTTAAAAGCATGAATGCAAATATTTTTCAACATCATATTTTGGAAAAAAAAAAAAGAAAAAAAAGGTGAACATAACGTGTGCCTTTAAGTTCCTCAGGGAAATACTACAAATTTGGCACCGTACATTTTATAGGAACTGGTATATATACAAAAAGTAAAATTTATATAAAACAATATGCAAAATACTTTGTTATATCCTCATCAACTTTACTATATACAGAAAAAGTATGCATCCTCAAATGGTGATTTAGACCCTCAGAGAGGGCTTCCTTCTCCTTCGCTTTTCTGCATACAAGACTTCAAGCTAACAAAGGAATCTGTACATTTTCTCCAGTGCACAACCTGTTTAAATAATTGCTGCTCAAACTATCAAGTGTCATGCATAGAGCCTCTGAGGCTTTTCAGTACCAAGCTCAACAGTTGATCTTCAACTGTCTCTTATAATAAACCTTATGTAAATCAGCTTGTTCATTCAGGCACATACAGGATGCAAGAATAATCAGAATGATGAATATAGTATGAAGACTCTGGCTTGGTAAGACAGCTGCTTTGCTGACCGGGAGGAAAGGTTTGCAGCATCATCAGGGCTCAATTTTACAGAGAAACATTTTAAATAGCCACACTGTAGCTTTTCCCTTTTTCTTCTGGGCTCTGTTCTGATACAAACAAACATAACATTACAGAGGTGGTCGTGTAGAAAGCATGTATGCACAATGCTGAATTTACAAAAAAAAAAAAAAAAAAGGTAAGCCTTCTGCCCTCGACACCCCTCCAGCATCTAATATTCTACCACGGTGTCGCCAGCCTCTCTTTTCAGCTTAATGTCCCATTTAGACGTTTTCAGCTGCATCAAAACTCCCCGATTCTTTCTGCAGCCTTCTTCCATGAGCTGAGGTACCTCAAGAGTTTTCCTCAGGAGCTCTACGGAAACTGAGCCGTTTGAAGGAATCCCTGAAAAATGTGACGGAAAAGATGTGGTAAATGACAAAATAACAAGAAGAACGTTAAAAAGAAGAACACAAAGTAAAGCCAAAATAATTCAGTTATGATTATGTGCTATATAAATGAATAGACAGGATATTTTGACATTTGTTTTCTTTATAGAATTGCTTTTATAATTTTTCAAATACAAGTTCTAAATATAGCCAAAGGTAAAGTTAGTACTCATCCTCATTATAAATAATCATAAAAATATGCAGCTCAGGAAATAATCTGCTAAACTAATGATCGTTAACTGTGAAACACCAATTAGGTTGCAGTAAATTTTTAAAACTACATGAGACAAAGCTGGTATTGATAGCATCAAGAGCATAGGTCATATTTTCTTGCATTTAATTACAGCAGCACAATTTATCACTTGGGAATAAAGAGATCATGTTCAGATATAATTTCTTCCACCAAAATGACTAGATCTACTTATCGACGTCTATTCATCATTCAACACCCATTAGCAAAATAAGACGGCACTAAACCTTTTCCTCTTACATTACATCTCCCAATGCTGGAGCTTCCAGAGAGGTTGATTGTGGACTAATTCTCTTTGTATACTCCCTTTAAAAGATAAACTCCTATGATCTCTTCTCTTAAGCTCACCACACAAGTTTTCATATGGTGTGTGTCTTTGGAGTGAGATGCCCATAGATGAAGGTTATTGTTATTTCTTTGTTTTTTATGTTTTGTTTTTTGGCAAACCACTGTTTTGATTCTTTGCCGGCATATTTTGACACATTATCCCGCAGAAAGATCACTATCAATAATGACAATTTTTTCAGGTTTCTGCCATAGGCTTACTTATTTTTTTAAGCAGTTCTAAAGAACCATCAGTTTTGGTCTATTTTGGCTCCCCCAGTAGACAGAAGTTGTATTGCTTAACCTGAAGGAAGACCGCATTTCACATGACATGGTTGCTTGCAGTTGGATTGAACTACAATTCTGTCTCTAGTAGCTGAGTGAAAGATGAATAGCGATGAGGCGATGAATCTAACTGTGGTGAAACCATATTATTTTGAACCATATTACTTTACCCTCCCCCCTCCTCTTTTGGCTCTTCAGCGACTGATTTAGAGCCTTGAGATGGATAAATATGTTTTGCTGGATAATTTCAAAGTAAATACAAGTAAAGATCCCAGCAGGAAGCTTCAGCATCGCCTGAATATCAACCCTGCACAATTTGGATGAACACAGTCTCTCAGGGAAATTTAGTTGCATCAACTTCTGTCTGAATAACGAATAGGGAAAGGGGGATGCAGTCTGTAAAGCAGTCTATATTTGTAGTTGTTTTGTGTGGCAAGGTTACTGCCCACCTCCTCAAAGTTAATAAAAAAAAATAACCTGCATAAAAATAATTTGTGCAGGTGAAAGCGATACAGACCCCCATCAGGCCATGAGAGAGATGTCACTCAACTAGTTGTAAGTCAACGTATAATTACAAAAGTTATGAAAATCTTTTATGAAGGTTGAAAAGCTACTTAGTGCCGTTTTAAAATCTCTTAATATTTGAAGACTTCATGAAAAATGTCCAACAAGGTTCCAAAGGGTCTTGGTAGTTCCAGTTTATTTACTTTTCAATTATTTCTGATATATAACAGTAGATATGTGCAGGTTTAGGGGAAGTGCTTCTTTCTTATGATCCTTTCTATATTCATGAATACCTGATAGGCTAATCTTTCTTGTCCTGGTTTAGAGAAAAGGGCCTTAGTTATGTTTTATTAATGGACCCTTCAAATATGATGCCATTAATCACTAATTAAAAGGTCCTGCATACTAGATATGTAAAATTTTAGCACTGTGTACCGAATAACCTCAGTAACATTTAAGAAATCCAAGTCATCAGCGCTGATACAATGAATAAAGCGTTTCTATACCCTTCTATATAAACTCGAATTAATTTATTTAGACATTTATACCAATAAGAGAGCCATGTGTATGTTGCTAGATATAATTGGACTCTATTTAGGTCATTAATACGGATAGATTAAAAGTATTTCACTCAGTTCAGTTTGCTTCCAATTTAGAAATAAATAAATAAAAAAAAACTGAAAAAGCTTAGTAGATTCTACTGGAGTACTTTCTCCTTCATCACAAATAAAAAATGGCCCGTTCAATGTACCTGTTCTCCAGCCGGGGCCTGACGATGGGTTTGTAAAGCTCAGGAATCTTTCTTTCCAGCATGGGCCTCAGGTTTTCTCTCAGGCGGTTGTAGTTCTTCTTCAGCTCCTGCTGGTACTCCTTCTGGTCTGACGCGATTAAGTGCTTATTCTTTTCAACAGCCTCACCACACCTAGGGAAAAGAGGCCAAAGCGATGTGAGGCAGCTGTTTAAAACAAATTTGGTTTC